TGATGCTGGCTTCATAGAAGGAATTTGGAAGTTCTCCTTCCATTTCTATCTTTTTGAATAAATTAAGTAGAATTGGATGCAGATCTTCTTTAAATGTCTGATAGAAGTTTAAAAAAAATTTTTGTTGTTGTTCTTTTTGAGACAGAGTCTCCCTGTAGCCCCAGCTGGCCTGGAACTCACTATGTAGACCAGGCTAGCCTTGAACTCACAGAGATCTGCCTGCCTCTGACCTGATTGGAAATAAAGCATTGTAATTAACAAAAAAGGGCAAGTTTGGAGAGATAATAAAATGGGGAATGTGATAAGAGATGAAGTCAGAGAAATAGGCAGGAGGCACCATGTTGGAGTTTGTAGGCTCTGGTGAAAATCTGCATGTTTATTTTAAGAGTGACTGGGCAGTTCCTCGAGTATACTGAGCAAGAAGGTACAATTAAGTTTAGGAAACAAGACATCCTATGTTATAGTCTCTTCCTGAGAGATTTAAGGCAGACCTCCAAGGATAATGTCAGGGCTCAGAAAACACTAAGCCCAACATACTTTGAGCTGAAGGAGATTGAGATGGCCTCAGAAACAAGGTTACTCTGAGTTTCTCATGCCTTTCTGTGTGAAGCATAGTCATAAAACATCCTCTGTACTAATGTTCCTAAAAGTAGGTCACAAACCCTCCTTGAGGGGTCCTATTCCATATCCAGAGGTAAGAAATGCTACACAGAGAGCTCAAGAAAAGTCTAAGACATAAGCCATGCTAAGTTCCTCCTTGTTTATTAACATGGGAAAAATCATTTTTATTCAATCATATATTACCATAACTATTCACTTCCTTCATCAAAACAAGCATAAAATCAGTTTCTCCTCAGTCTTGGTGTCTTCAAAGGTTCTCACAACATGTAAAACTTTGAATAAATAATTTGCTATATTTTTATCTTGTTAATCTTTTTTTGGGTCTTTTTTAAAAAAAACATTTTATTCATTTATTTATTTTATGTGTATGAGTGTATTGCCTGCATGTATGGGAGCGCACCCGTGTCATGTAATGCCCATGGAGGTTAGAAGAGGGCTTCAGATTCCCCTGGAACTGGAGTTAAGGACCATTCGTAGCCACCATGTAGGTTCTGGGAATCGAAGCTGGGTCCTCTGCAGAGTAGTCAGTGCTCTTAACCGCTGAGCCATTTCTCCACTCTCCACCCCCCCTTTTTTTTGGTCTTTTTGAGACAGAGTCTCCCTGTAGTCCCAGCTTGCCTAGAACTCACTACATAGACCAGGCTAGCCTTGAGCTCACAGAGAGCTCTACCTGCCTCTACCTCCTAAGTGCTGGAATTAAAGGGGTGCACCACCACGCCTGGCTTAACCTATCTTTTGTTAGAGGGTATCAGCCATGGATCTTGCAATGAATGAGAAAAAGTACTATTTTCCTCTCCTACAATACCAGAACTTTATGTATTTATTTATATAATAAGCAGCTGTTTTTCTATATAGGCAAAACTTATCTAAAGAAGTAATAATGAAAAATAAGGCAAACATGAATGGTGGTTCTGCTAACAAAAAGTAAAACATTAAAGTTATTAGAATATAGCAAGATATCCCTTGGCCTATCTGATTTCTTATGCATAATTTATCATTAGCATCAAAATACATGCCTTAGTTTTAAAATTTCAATTACAAAAAATTTTCAAGAGAAGAATGCAGCTATTTTACAAATTTAAATCTTAACAGTAGCATTTATAAATATATGTGATTACTTACCACCATGTTTCAATAGCATATTTATTCTTTTTTTGTTTGTTTGGTTTGGTTTGATTTGAGACAGGATCTTACTATAGCCCCAAACAAGCTGGAACTCACTATGTAGAACAGTCTGGCCTCAAACTTGCAGTCATCCTCCTGCCTCTGCTTCCCAAGTACTGGGATTACAGGTATATGCCACACACCCAGCAACATACTTACTCTTTTTTTTTTTTTTTGTCTTTTATGAGACGGAGTCTCCTTGTAGCCCCAGCTGTCATGGAACTCACTATGTAGACCAGGCTGGCCTTGAACTCACAAAGATCCTCCGGCCTCTGCCTCCCAAGTGCTGGGATTAAAGGTGTGCGACACCATGCCCGGCAACATACTTATTCTTTAAGCAAGACAATTCATTACTTTATTCTTTTTCTGCATTTCTACTTGGCACATAAAAATATCCAGAGGATAAATTAAAGTTATTTCTAGTGGATCCAAAATTCTTTATTTTTACTGAACATCTCAACACAATGAAGAGGTAGCAATGTTTAATTCTAATAAGCCCTTAATGATAGTTTTATACTTTAAAAAACAGGCAACAAAACATTAAAGTCAAATAACCAACAAAGCTGAGGGATAGGAATACATCAGTGGCACATATTAGGATAAGAATTCCATAATAAATCTAGGATTATATATTCAATTAACTAAAGTAAAAAAGGAAAAAAAAGGGTTTAATGTATTGGCAACCTTGTCAAAACCCAAGGTCATTTCAA